AAAAATTAATTAAATTAATTAAAATTATAAGCCTACGGACATAAATACCCTTCACAATAAATTATTTAATTAAGGAAGTATTTAATTCAGTAAATTACGTTGGATAAATCCCAAATATCACGTTGTAAGATTTGGAAGGGTGTTATGAGACGTGGGTTGAAAAAACAAAATATCAGGAGTTTATCAGACGTGGTAGAATTAAATAAATCATTTGTCGTTATAAGATCTTAGAATTCTATGGGTTTAGTTTCGTGAAATCTAATGCAATTAGGTATATTTTTATTTTTTTCGTATTGCTATCAACATGAAGAGGAGCTACGTCAACATGTTTGTTTTGTTACTGGGAGGGAGTTTATGAAACGTGGTTGATTCATCTTTGACAACACTCTTATTTTATTTCCCAAAATTTCTGGTTTAGATTTCGAGATTGAAATTCGAATTCAGACTTTTGATTCAATTTGGCAGGAATTAAATTAAATTTTGTGTTTTTTTTAGGGTTGATGGTGCAAGATTGAAGGAGAAGATGACCATACAGAAAGTTATTGAGCCCGATTCACATTTGTTCTCTTTATTTACACATCAGGAGAAGATTTCATTTAGTTTTTTTTTCGTGCAAACCAAAACGAGTACAAAATGGCTCGCTCGTTCTCCGCCGCTAAATTCATTCTGTATTTAATCGCCAGAGCAGTTCCGTATCTAGAGGCTCAAGGACATCGACTAACTCTGATAATCTTGAGACGAAAATTGTGTTTGTTGTTTGCTATTTTTTTAACACTTTGTTGTTATATATTTAATTTTTTGTTGTTAGTATGGTACTATTTGCACTTTGCTTTTAATTCTTGCAGTTTATGTATATAATGTGGTTTTGCTCGAATATATTTTACACTTTTGCTGCTTGTATTTACTATTTTAAGTTTTTTTTTCATACGTGATTGTCACTGTTAATATCTGCTCTATAAATATCAAACTTTAAAAATCCATTCATAATTCAAACATCAAACAGCAAAACATCATGTTATAATGTCCATATCGAACAACAAACATCAAGTTTTTTCTCATTTATTTATGTCGATTCGCACATTTTTCGATGTTGGTGGATTTTTGTTTTGCGTTTTGCTGTCTTTAGCAGACTATATTTTACACTATGATGTTATATATTTTTTTTGAGTTGTTGGCATGGTATTGTTTGCACTTTTGATTTTAATGTTTGCAGTTTGCATATACGATGTGTTTGTTGCTCGACTACATTTGTGCATGTTGATGTTATAAATGATGTAATTTTTTGGTATAATATTATCTACACTTTTGACGCGATATATATTTTTTTTTTGCAGTTGGTATTGTATTATTTGAACTTTGCATTTTCTTTTTGCAGTTTGCATATAAATTACAATAGCAAAATGCAAACTATAACAGCGGAATGAAGACTAAAGCCCTGTGAGAATTTTGTTGCAGCGGTGGATAACATAACAAAAATCGACTACAGCCCTGTGACACTTTGCCTGTTTTTTTTTTTTAACAATTTACTGAATTTATAAGAAATTATGAATTGGCAAGCATATATATCAGTACACAAAATACCTGCGTGAATTTGGAATATATTAAAAAATAGTTCATATCAAAATCCAACAAAAATATAATGCCACAAATAAAAATCAAAGTTCGGTTAAACATAGTAAATATCATAAAAAAATTATAATTAAACTCAAGGGTATCCTCGTCGTTCAAAAACTGATAATTAAAAGTTTTTCGAGTGCGATAATCCCACTTGCTGCAGTTTTCTCACTAATAGTTGTTGCATGCACAACTGCCTTGCCATATACAAGACAAAAATCCCACAATCAACCAAATCTGGTTTGTTGAGGCGATGTCGAAACATAATATGGCTTCGTGTTATCGTGCAAATAGATTTTGGCTTGATTCATCGTTGCTTTCCTCTTTTTGAAGAGGCAAATGATTCATCTACTTTCCTCTTCCCTTTCGTCAAATCAACTGTTCAATTGAAAAAGAAATTATTGGACAACCATGTCGGTACGTATAATCCATGTACATCAATTGCATATAACAATATGTCAGGTGCATTTGGTAACATCAAATGCAAATTGTAATTTTGAAACAATAAAATGCAATTAAAAATCACAAGATGACTAAGAATATACCAAAAGTTCGAATGAAATATACAATATCAAAGATTACATCGTATATGCAAAATGCAAAATGCAAAATACCAAATAAACATCAAAGTGCAAAACGCAAAATAAATATCAATGTGAAAATACAATACGCTAGAAACAACAAATTGCAAAAAAAAAAAAAAACAACGAAATCGAATATATGTTGCAATCGACACCAGAAAATAACATGAAAAAAAAAAACAAAAGTATCACAAAACAGCAAAATGAAAACACAAAATAATGTAACACAAACCAGGAAACTCCAAACAAACAATCAACAGATTTAGGAGGAAAAAAGAAAAATTTAACAAAATTTTCCAAAGGGCCGAAAAGCACAAAAGACGACAAAACAAAAAATCGCAATCGAGATCTGAAAATATGTAACAAAAAACGCAAAACAACCGGAAAAATATTTTAAATGAACAGTAAAACCAAACAAAAAATAATGTCAAAACAAAAAATAAAAATAAAAATTACATGGGTTAAAACCTCTAATTTGCATCTTTCACTTATGTTATAAAAATAACCCATTGCATTCCGTCAATGAATCGCCATTAAAGACATTTACAAAATCACAAATCAAATTACCTGTACGTTTCGATTTTGCACTATCCTCTAGGATGTGTTTTCTTTGTTGGCGATTTGCAGAAGTTATAGAGATTCCATCGTTCTCGAGAACAACGATAGGGTTACAGAGATTGCATGAAGAAAAGGGGGCAGGGAGAAATTTTGTTTTTCGAGAGATTAACGATGGAAAAATACAATTTGGGGAGGATTTGCAATTGACGTTTTGCAGCACGACTTATGCTAAAACCGGTTTTTATGGAGGATTAATAGGAATATATAAATTTAAGAATACAATTTTCCTATTTTCGCTAAAGGGCAAATCAGCCATAAAAAATTGTAGGGGGTTATAGCAATATTGGACTTATGACTTGGATTTTAACAAATATAATTTAATAATGGAGGGTCTATAGAAAATTACCCCTAATAATAATAATGGTAATAGTAATAATAATACTAATAAATAATAAAATAATAATACTTATAATAATATAAGAATATAAACAATAATAATCATAATAATAAAAAAAAAATCATAATAATAATAATAATCATCATCACTATCATCATCCTCAATCATTATATTCTACTTTTTCACGTAGTTTCGTAGAGAAAATTCACCACAACCAAACATATTCTCATTTCTACACCTACATAAAACTAAAAATACCCCTTCATCCAAACATATTCCCATTTTCTACACAAAAACCAATAAACTACTTTTTCCATCAGAAATTTTGAAAACTAGAAATTCCCATTGGAAACATAACCAAACATCCCCTAAGCAGCTCAAATATATCTGCTCATTAATTAATTAATACCTTTATAAAATATCTACAAATATCAATTTGAGACCCTTATTACCAATAATATACATTATGATTTATTTTTATCTACATTTCATGTATTTCATCAAGTGCAATTTTATTATACATGCGTATTAATTATACTGTATAATATATGATTTTCGGTAACTCTGCGGTTTAAAATTACCTAGTAAATTACATCACGTGTATCATCTACAAATTCATGTAATAAATATCATGAGAAAAAATAAGTTTTTTTTTTTCAAACATAAACCTTAAAAATCTATCAAGTTGCAACAGTGATAAGATCCAGCCCACGTGGACAAAAGTCAGAGCTATACATCATAAAGCTATTATTATTATTAGGGTAAATTACAAACACCCCCCAGAGGTATGGTCAAATTACAAAAACACCCATCTTGTTTGGATAATTACAACCACCCCCTCAACTCCTCAAATTTAGTGGAATCTTCGAGATTATATGGAATATTATCACTTTTGTAGCCGTTTTATCCCATTCAAACTCTACATTATGAAGCAAGATGATCATAATATGTGATTTTTAGCTTGTATATATCAGTTTGTGGTGCATCAGAAACTGTATTTTTACACAAAACGAGTACAAACTAGAGCACATTTCACGAAATCTAGATGATTATGTTGAATTTGGCACCATAAGGGTGGAGGTGTAAGAAAAAATCATAGTTAAGGGGGTAGATGTAATTATCCAAACAAGAGGGGGGGTTTTGTAATTTGACCATACCTCAGGGGGGGTGTTTGTAATTTACCCTTATTATTATTATTATTTTTATTATTATTATTATTATTTTTATTTTTAATTTTTTTTCTTAATTTAATTGGTGAGCTATATGTATGTCATAGTTACAACTTACAGTCAAAAGTTTTATTTAATGATTAATAGTTAAATACAATAAAACGGTCACCGAACCCAAGTTAATGAATTTGATCAAATATATAGAAATAGTGGTTTAGATGACCAAACCCACCGGTCCAAACTAAAGGGCCCATTTTGCACTTGGATATATAATAAACATTATTAGTTGGTGAAATCCACGTGTCAAATTTTTATTACGTGTCTTTTAAGTATACATATCAAGTAAAAATTATTAGTCGATCCATTTACTCACCAATATAAAAATATATGTAGTGGAAATGCCAGCAAGGGTATAATTCAACTGATTTTGTAGTCCAAAATTTTAGAATCGAGTACTAATAGCTGCAGTATGATAGTTTCAATTCTGATAATAATTGATTTCTTCTGGACATCAACTGCCATAATAGGTCGTTAAATTACCATGATTTACATTTTTTCGACAAAATTCTATTGGGCCAGAGGATGGGGACCTGAGGGCGAAAACTTTCGGCTTTTGGTTCAATTTAGATTTTAATAAATGATATTTAATAGTTGATTAATTAATTAGGTAATTTCGGGATCACTTGCGTTTTACCTTTCTTTTCTTTTGACTTTTTCAAGCAGTGCAAGAGAGACTTATAAAGCTAATATGCTAAATATATCTAACTATTGAATGATGGATCCCTTTCTTTGAGAGAGACTTATAAAGCTAGAATGCTAGATATATATAGATATAGAATGATGGATACCTATATATGACTACAGATATTCAACCGTCGATAGATACATGCCCTTCAAATATGGGCAAACTCTTACCATAATTTTCAATTTATACATCATATAATTTCATATATATATATATATATATATATATATATATATATATATATATATATATATATATATATATATATATCAACAAGCCAAAGTTACACAAGGACAAAAAATATGTCAAAACAATATATATTATTATATATTATACATATATGATGTATTTCAGCAGGTGTAGGATTATAATAAACCGTCACAACACCTTCTTTGTGTCGATCGACATAATATATCCGTTAGTTTCGACGACCGTTTAGTTATCTTTAATGAATTTATAATCTATTTAACCAATAAATAACAAGTTATATATATATAATATATATAGATGTTGTTGTCATTATTAAAAACACCAAAAATAATATGAATTTGAAATTAGTGAATAATAGAACAACTCTCATACTTCACATTTCCGTTTCCGTGATTGCCCTCGATTGTAACTCGACCTTTTCTTATGTCCACTAATTATATAATTCATCTTCTTTAACAGCTCATCTCTCTCTCTCTAAAACTTTCTCTCTCTCTCTCTCTCTCTCTCTCACACACACACACACATATACGTGTTATATTGCACATATATATATAATCTGCAGGAAACAAAAAAGAGAGTAGTGTGTGTAATTAAGAAAATAAATATAATTATGGATAAGCTCAAACATTCTCTGTGTATGTATCTTCTTCTCCAGTGTTTGTTATGTGCAGCGGCTAGTTACGCCGCCGCTGCCGCCTTCAACATATCGAATATTCCGTTCAGCAAAGGCTTCAGCCCTCTTTTCGGCGAAGGAAATATCATCCACTCCCAAGATGATCAATCTGTTCAGCTTCATCTCAATCAATTCACAGGCATCTCTCTCTCTCTCTCTCTCTCTCTCTCTCTCTCTCTATATATATATATATATATATATATATATATATATATATATATATATATATATTTATATTATTACTAACTAATACATGCACATGACTAAGGTGATCTTGGTTATTTTTTTTATTTATTATATAGTTTTCGGCCTTTTTTTTGTTTAATGATATATATATACATGACTAAGGTGATCTTCATGCATGCTTATACATATTACACACATGTATATATATATATATATATGTGTGTGTGTGTGTGTGTGTGTGAATTTCCTGTTTCTGTTCCAGTATGCCAAGTTTTTCAGACGATGGTAATTAATTATATTAATCATGGTTTAATTTAGCTGAAAAAAAAATAGATTTTGTATTTAGATGATGTCTAATTAATTAATTAATCAGTTCCTAATAAATTGATTTTAATAATTAATTAATCCACAGGCTCAGGCTTCAAATCCTCTGACCTGTACAACCATGGCTTCTTCAGTGCTAAAATCAAGCTGCCATCAGATTACACGGCCGGAATAGTCGTCGCGTTTTACGTACGTATACTATGTTTATTAAAATATGAATTACAACACAATCAATCAATTCAAATTCCTCACCATCATTTAATTTAATTGCATCGAATAATACGAATATAAAATAATTATTTAATTGCAGACAACAAACGGAGACATATTCCGAAAAACGCACGACGAACTAGACTTCGAATTCTTGGGAAACATAAGAGGAAAAGCATGGAGATTTCAGACAAATATGTATGGTAATGGAAGCACAAATAGAGGAAGAGAAGAGAGATATTCCCTTTGGTTTGATCCTTCTAAAGACTTCCATTCTTACAGCATACTTTGGACCACCAACAATATTATGTAAGTATTTCTTTTCTTTTCTTTTTTTTATTAAAAATATATTATATTATTAAATTAAACTTTTTATTATTTTTTTCAAATTTTAATAATATTTTTGGCAGCCGCCCTTTTCAATTTTATTTTTTTTCTCAATTGTCAATTGCGGCTTTGAGTGAAATTTGACTATTTCAATTTTCTAAGTGTACTTTGCTTCTACCACAAAATTAGCTACCCCTTTATCTAATTCTTAATTTATTAGCATAATTAAATTGATTAATTAGTTATAGAGATACTAGTAGACATAGTTTTCAAAGATCACATGTGTTATGTGTAGAAAAAGGGATAATTGATCATGAATAAAAAGTATTTAGGAATGAGTCACATGCAAGGATACAATTTGATTGGTTAATTATTATTATTGTTATTAAAATAAATTGATTAAATTTCAAGAAAAAAAAAGTTTTTTTTTTAGGTAGATGATCAATTTTATTTTAAATGTTTAGAAACAATCTCGTGAATATCAATAATCATCTTGTCCTTGTCAATTGTCACAACTTAATTGGTCATAATTAGTTGGTATACGTCATTATGATGGAACCAATCCTATGTTCTGTTCCCCACTTAACCTAATCCAATAAATTAACAACGCGTAATTAACATTAATTAAGATGATAATTAATGTAATTTTTTTTTATAATTTTTATTTTATTTTATTTTGTTTTATTAGATTTTACATTGACGATGTTCCGATTCGGGAAATAACTCGGAAAGAAGCAATGGGAGGCGATTTCCCATCGAAGCCGATGGGATTGTACGCCACTATTTGGGACGCCTCCGATTGGGCAACTTCCGGTGGCAAGTACAAAACTAATTACAAATATGCCCCTTTCGTGGCGGAATTTACCGATCTAGTCCTCCACGGGTGTGCCACGGACCCACTTGAGGAGGTTGTGGGCCCGCTTTGCTCCGAGGAAATAGATGAGCAACTTGCGAATGCTGATTTTACTAAAATAACCCCGAAACAAAAGTTGGCCATGAAAAAGTTTAGGTTGAAGTATATGTACTATTCGTATTGTCACGATACGGTGAGGTACCCGGTGCCGCCACCGGAATGTGTGTTTGATTCGGCGGAGAGGTGGTTGTTTAAGGAGAATGGGCGGCCGAAGTTCGACGATAAAACCCGCCGGAGGAGGTTTAAGAAAAGAGCACAAGTTATGAGTGCTAAGAACTATGAAAATCAAGAAGACGTGTGACCATTTATATGGTTTAATATATATGTATATATATACACATACTATATATATACATACTATTGTCATGTAAAAAGTAAAGTTGGTGATTTTTTTTGTTTGTTTTTTTGGGGTTTTGACACAAATAAGATTGTATTTAATTTATTGATGTGAGATTGGAGTGCAAATTGTTGAGTTAGACCATATTTATAAAATAAGAGAAGTTTGGCGTCCAAATTGCTTACCTTTTCTTTTTCTTTTTTCATTTTTTTTTTCATTCTACAATGTTTTAACATAACTTAATTTTTTTCTTAAGAATTTTTTAACTGCATAGATTCGGATTCAGAATTTTTTGATTTAGGAACAATATTTTGAATTTTGAAAATTTCAATTTTTTCTATTGAAATTGGAATATATATATACGAGATTTCGATTCCCAATCTGATTTTAATTTAATAAAAATAATTCAAGTTTTATTTATTTCAATGTTACACATATAACATACATCAACTATATATTTTAGTGAATACAGATTGGAATTTTCAATTCATGTCGGTCCGATCAGAAAATTTCGATTTAGGAACACGTTTTTTCATTCCAAATTCCTTAAAATTTAAATTACACAATTTAATGAGTTATCAAACTTTCACACCATCCTAAAACACTATCTCTATATTTTTTAATTGTTATTATGATTTGTATCTCCTGTTTTCCAGCTTATTTTCTATAATTCTTCGCTACATCATATATTTAATGATCAGTTTCACATTATAACAATTAAGTGTATATATTTTTTTCGGAATGAGTTTGTATTATTAAATTAGTATAATTAGTATAAATACTGATGTTGTTACCTATATCACTATTTTTTTTTTTATAATTAAGGTATTAAACTAATCGTTAATTATTTTCACTTTTTATAAAATGCTAGGAAAATATGCATATGCCAATCAATTAATACCGATTAATTTTATTTTAATTAAAAAGAGAAGAAAAAGTCTAATTTAAACCCCATAATATATCTTAACAAAACCCCACAAATATCTCAACAAAACCCAAACACATAGCAAGTAACGGCTATTAGACCCATTCAAAAAAACACTATGTAATTCTCTTTCTCTCTCTCTCTCTCTCTCTCTCTCTCTCTCTCACAGCTACGTTCAATCGTATTTCTTCTTCTCAGGTATTTCTTGAAAGAATCATCCAATTCTTGATAATCACTACACAAAAATATATTATTTTCTGCACTTCTATTCTTTTTAATTAATTATATTGTCCATGTTCAACAATGGTACTATTTTTCTTTTTTAATTTAATTTTTTTTTTTTTTTTACTTTCCACTGAATATTTTGAAGATTTTCATATCTCTGTGTTTGCAGCAGGTAAGAAAAAGTACCATGAGATGGCAGCAAGAAATGGAATTGAATCTTCAACCTGGTAAAAAAAAAAGAATTAATTAATTACCTCATTTGTATATTATATATCTTCCATTTTTTTTAATTCATTAATTGATTTTTTTTTCGTATATTTATAATAATTCAGGAGACCAAGGTCTAAATTAACATCAGAACTCCAGCTTCATCTATGTGGATCACTCTTCACAGTAGACAGGGTAATTTCGAAAAAGAAAAAAAAAAAGAAACCCTAAATATTAAAACCCTAAATAAACTATCTTTTTTTTTTTTCTATAACAGGAACTTCTGGCAAAGAAATCATCCAAGATAGCGAAGCTAATGCAGAGAAACCCTAATGGAGACCTCTCGAATCTCCTCCGCGACATTCCGGCCGATCAAGAATCGATGGAAATTGTCGGAAGATTCTGCCACGGCTTCGGTATAAATCTCACAACCGAAAACATAGTGCGTGTCTCTTGCGTAGCTAAATACCTAGGAATGACGGACAATCACTGCCCCGAGAACCTACTCACCAAAGCCCTCGATTTCTTCGAGCGCCATGTCATTCCTAGTTGGAACAATTCCGTAAGAGCCCTCAAGACCGCGGAGAATATGCTCGATCACGCATCGGAGCTCGGCCTTATTGACTACTGCGCTCAATCCATTATATCGAAGGCTATGGAAGATCCCCGTTTGCTTGGAGAATCAATCGGGAGTGTTCCGATCTCCGACGAAGAAGAAGAAGAAGATTCCAACGAATATAAACCGAACGCTAGAAGGAAGCTATTCGATATAGAATGGAAATCCGAAGATTTGAGTTCGCTAGGGTTAAGATTATACGCGCCTATAATCAATGCAATGATCCAGCAAAAAATCCCGCAAGAAAACGTAGCGGCAAACATATGTCAATACGCGAAAACATGGCTGTTTTCCGACGAGGAAAAAATAGATGAGAATTCGCAGAGGGAGATTCTAGAAGCATTAGTGCAGCTTCTGCCTCAAGAAAGAGATATTGTCACGTGCACATTTCTCTTCCACATGCTCCGTTTCGCCAAATTTCTCGATGCCAGCTCGGACTGCATGAACGGGATCGAGCAAAGAATCGGGAAGCAACTAGACCAAGCCTCGGTCAAAGACATGCTAATACCTTCACAAGGGTACGCGAAAGACGAGCAGTATGACACGGAGTGCATCCGTAGAATCTTGAAAAACTTCTATATGCACTACACGGGGCCGGACCCTACCGGGCTAGGGTTAGTGGCGGAGCTCATAGACGAGTTCTTGATCGAAATATCGGCGGACATTGATTTGAAGATGCCCACTTTCGTTGCGTTTGCCGACATGTCGGTGGCGGCGTCGGACGGGTTGAGTCACCGGACCTCGGACGCAATATACCGGGCGGTGGATATATATCTGGACAAGCACAGGCATTTGACGGAGTCGGAGAAGGAGGAGATATGTAAGGTTCTGAATTGTAATAGGTTGTCCGGTGAGGCGTGCGAGCACGCGGCGCAGAACGGGAGGCTGCCGGTTAGGTTTGTGGTGCAGGCGTTGTTTGTGGCGCAGTTGAAGCTGAGGGAGGCGTTTGTTCCGAGAATAGCGGCGGCGGGGGGTGGTGGTGGTGGTAGTGAGAATAGTGATGGGAGGAGGAGGGTTGTGGAAAGGGAGGAGGAAGAAGGGGAGAGGATGGAGATAGAGAGGATGGGGAGTAAGGTGAAGGAGTTAGAGAGAGAGTGTGATGTGATGAGGAGAGAGATAGAGAGAAGTGGTGGTGGTATTGGATTTAGTAATAATAATGTGGTGAAGAAAAACAAGAAGAGTGGGAAAATGAGTATGTGGAAGGAGATGAAGAGGAAATTAGGGTGTGGAATCAGTAGTGTTGATGATGATTACCATTGTCTTGTTAAGAAGAAGAAGAAGGTCCACCCCAGATGATTTTTATATATATATATGTGTGTGTGTGTGTGTGTGTTTGTGTGTGAGAGAGAGAAAGAGATGAGTTGAGACTTGTCTTAATGAAATAATTAAGGAAGAACAATATATGTTTGTTTTGGTGTGTTTTGATGTTTAAGTATCAAGATCATTTTGAGGCGGTTTATTTATTTATTTATTTTTCGAGTTTATATGTAGTTAAAGTTGATTGAGCATCAAATGGGATTTACGTTGCCGTTTACGTATCTCGTGTGATTTGAGAGCTATTGCTGGATGGTGAGGTTTTTAGCCAGTGCATATTGTGGTTGTGTGTTTCTTTGTCAAAAAAAATAATAATAAATAAATGGTATGGTTTCCTATACAGATTTCAAGTTTTGAAGTACTACACGGAGAGAGAAAAAAAATGGATTTGAACTCGAACACAAAGTTGCCAAAACAGTCAAACTCGGCTCGTTTATATCCCTTGCTATGGGTGATAGTTTCAAACTGTACATGAATGATAAAAGTCTTATTTTGCAAAAGTGAACACAATACAAAATAAAGCTTTTACCATTAACTTTTGCCATCGAGAATTTAACAGCGTAGCGTGATGCATTAGCTAAACCGGGGACATTCTTAGATACGAATGAAATTTTGTTGTATAATATTTGCCCCAATTTTTTAGATTATCATATGTATCGGGGTCTTTTGCCCGTGTATGCTCGTAGTACATCTGATCCTTGCAATCACACCATGGTTTTAAGTTCTTAATATAATATCTTTTGTTCAAGTTCTAAATAAAAATTAATAATAATCACTATTAGGCATCTAGTAAATCTAAGAAATTGCAGCATGCTAAGGAAAATCGAACTCGAGTTGTTACACGAAAATAGCTTTTCTTAGGTGGTGTTTGCAAATGATTATTTAAAAGCAGAAGTTAGTGATTATGATTTAAGTTAGTTTTAAGTGCTTATTTCTAAAAGTTGGGGGTGTTTGCAAATATTTCGGAAAATGAACTAAAATTAAAAAAACAGGATTAGGGGTGCTTTTAAAAAAATAGCTTAAAGCAGATTATTTTAAGAGAAGCAAAAGCAAAAGTTGATTTTGCAAACACTTAAAAACAGGTTATGAGAAAAAAAAACCGCATAATCACTTTCAAAAAACATTTGCAAACACCACCTTAGAAATGCAAAAAAATATATCCAATTCAATTCCCAGCAATATTGGAAAAAAAAATCCAAAATTAAAATTAGAATAAATGGAAATGAAAATAATAATATAATAATAATAATAATAATAATAATAAATAAATAGAAAAAAAATGAGATCCTAAGCAGACGTTTGGTCCGTCCAATGAGATAACAAAAATGACTTAGGTGGTGTTTGCAAATGATTATTTAAAAGCAGAAGTTAGTGATTGTGATTTAAGTTAGTTTTAAGTGCTTATTTCTAAAAGTTGGGGGTGTTTGCAAATATTTCGGAAAATGAACTAAAATTGAAAAAGCAAGGTTAGGGTTGCTTTTAAAAAAATAGCTTAAAGCAGATTATTTTAAGAGAAGCAAAAGCAAAAGTTGATTTTGCAAACACCTAAAAACAGATTATGAGCAAAAAAAACAACATAATCACTTTCAAAAAGCATTTGCAAACACCACCTTATTCAACGACTTTGCGTCCGATTCGAGTATACATACATATACATACATAGATACATACAGTCTCTGAATTCAGACCCCCAAACGGGATATTCTTCGCAGCTAAAAAACGCCATGGGACAACTTCTTGACAAGTTTCAAGGTATCTATTTTTATTCTTATTCAATTCACCTAATCAATCTATTATGGGGTAATTATCATGCTTTCTCTGTGTGTGTGTGTGTGTGTGTGTGTGTGTGTGTGTGTTTTCTTCACTGTATTCCATGGGCTTGAATCAAATCATCAATCTGCGTTATATCCGATTCCTTTGGTTGTGTAATTGAATTTTGTTTGATGTGAATTTACCTTTCAATCCAATCCATAAGGTTTTAATTTCACCGCTGTAAAACTCAGATCTTTTTTTATGTTTGCATCTGGGTTTTTTTTCTGTATGCTTGTATCTGTGTTGATTTAGGCCTCGTTTGGCTTGGGAGATTAGTTATTATTGAGTTTTTATTAGATTATCTAATCTTATCTCGGCAACCAACCGAATAAGGAATTTAATATTTATGCTTTATGGGTAATTTTTGGGAAATTATAAAAGTAGTTTTTGGGAAATTATATCGAGTTATATTTATCGAAGAGAAGAACTGAATAAATTAGAGTGTTCGTAAATCGTGGCCGTGTAGCTCAGTTGCCGAAAACATGTCAACTGGCTTTAGTTTGCGTAATCCGTTGAATTTTGAAAATATTTGTTTTGTTTAGTATCAATCAATCATGCTAAATTTTATAATCAATGATGTATTCGCTAAATTAAACGAGGCAAAATCGTGTTGAATCTACCTCTGTTTCTAAGGTTGTTTGTGCCACCTGTACCTCTGTTTCTAAGGTATTATTTCCGTGCATACTTTTTTATTAACTGAATATCGTATCGTTCGATTCTTGTGCTTGACGACATTAGTTTCAACAAGACCCGTCTTTATTATTATTCCTTAATCTTCATCGATGAAATTTAAATCATTGTGCACGATATACATGGTATTATTTAATCCAGAAAAGCTTTCGTCTGTGCAGGAAAGGAATGGAAAGAAAAACAGATACGTATAATTACCGACAAAGTTTTCAATCGTGTCAAAGATGATGCAGGAAGGCCTACTCTCACATTCGAAGAGCTCTACATTGCCGTATTACTTATATATAAGTCTGAATCTTCGCCTTTACAATTACTTATTCCAAAAATAATTTATGTATCTTCTGATATTTCCGATTTCCTTTTTTTTTTTTGTTAGTGATCTTAACAAGCGTTTGCCTGGCCCCCATTTCGACCCCCCTACTAAGGAGCAAATTAAGACCCTCATGCAGGTACGTTGTAGAATTTCGACAATTTCGATAAATTCTTTTATCTGTTTCAAATTAACATAAAAAAGTATTTTATTTTATTTTATTTATATTATATTTCAGGAGAGTGACATTAACTTTGATGGTGAATTGGACCGTGAAGAATTTGTGAAGTTCATACGACGCATAACGAAAGACACGTTCATCAGTGTGAGTCAAGGATTAATAATTACTCTTGCCGTTGCTCCGACAGTGGCTTTGCTAACGAAGAGGACTTGCGAGAATGTGCCAGGTGTCGGCAAAGTGGTCCAGAAAGTACCGAATTCGATTTACGCTTCGCTTGTGACACTCGTCATTGTTGCCTTTCAACAAGGTGCGGAGAGATCGTAATTCATAAATGGTACACTTCTTTTGTTTGTGTACATAGAATTTCAAGAAAATAAAAAAGATTTTCAAGAAAATTCTTCTCTTCTGGAGAACACAACTTGTAAAACTTATTGTGTGGATTGGTTTATATATCTGCATTTTTACGAAGTGTTTCGATTTCCCGTTCGTGCTTATTCATTTGGATAAATTACGAATACACCCCTGAAGTAAAACTAAATTACGATACAACTTGTCGTGTTTGCGGAGTTATGTTTACCTAGGTACATAGCAAAATTACAAACATGTCCTTGTTTAGGTGCAATTTTACTAGTATACCAATTCCCACCCCGTTTAGAACCGATAAAAAATATATTTGTTTTTAATATTTGTAATTTATTTATTTAGAATTAATCCAAAACTTAGTATTTTTATAATATAAATAGTATATAAATTTAATAAAATATAGAAAAAATATATAAGCGGGTTGGATACGGGTGAATACATTCAAAACCCGGGTACAAAAATGAAAACCCGTACTCTGACCCGTTAGCGAACAGGGCCGGATTGAAGTTGAAGTTGCCCTCCCTATGTTTACCCCCTCAAACAAATCATTAAAATGTCTAAATTGCATGTGAAATTTAAAGAAATTAAGACGAAAAAACACCAATCATATTCATTTTTAATGATTAGTACAAGGGCAATTTCGTCCAAATAATACATAGATTAATAGACTCTAAGTACTTGACATCCTTAAACACAAAAAATCTGCAGACACAAACAAACAAACAAACAAACATAGATAAGACGAAATCAATCGACCTCTACGGCGACGGTGATGATGACGTCATGCTTCCAACACTAGTAGTACCGCTGCCGCTGCCGCTAGTGCTCGATCCATCTTCATTGTTACGATTTTCCGATTTTCGAAAGTTGAGTACCAAACAGAACTCGTTGTTGTTGTTTCTCCGGTATCCCCAGAGCTCGACCGAGTCACCTTCGTGCGCATCGTTCGCCCTGATTAACTTCATCCACTCTTTGTTGATAACCGTGATTTTCACGCTGCTCCACCTCACCAAATGGAGGTTATAGAAGTCGCCGTTTTTATCAATCCCCACAAACTCGAGCCCTTTTCTGTCATCGGCATCGACAGCTGTCCTCTCTTCCTCGGTCAGGAACCCCATCAGGTTCGCTTTACAACCGGAGATAAATAACCTGTTTAGGCGGTCCCGCACATCGGATACTTCGAGTTTCTTCTTGTACAAGAAAACCGGTTTACTTCCGTCGTGTGACTCGATTTTTTGAAGCAGCCCTGGAATTTCCTCCAATGGAATAATAACATTATCGCCTTCGTCGTGATTCGGTGATAGTTTCGCCTTCTTCTTTTTGTCGTTCGATGATTTCGCCTTTTTCTTTTCGATATCGGGTTTTTTCGCTAGCTTGTTCTTCTTTCCTCGGCCGCCGGTAGTAGGAGTAGTACTAGTTGTTGAAATATCATGAAGATTAGTTGCAGAAAACTCACCGGAATATTCTTTATTACAGGGCCGGTTTCTTGAAAACCCAAGATGCTCAGGGCGGAAGATTGTATTCAATGTCGGAAGAACACACCTCAACGGCACCGGACAGTAGATATTATTGTCCGAAATATTCTGAATTTGGTCGGAAATACTTTTCTTGGCCTTGGTTTTCCGGTAAAAGTCGTCGGAAAAAGAAGGGATTGATAAACCACTCGCCGGAAGTAGGGTTCCGGTGGTATTTCCTGATAAGATTTGATCGCCGCCGTTGTTAATGTTAATGTAGAGGAAGGCCCTTTTCTTGAGCGGCAAAGTACTGGAAACTTCGCCGGAAAGAGGGTTAATGTTAAAGTTGTGGAAGGCCCTTTTCTTGAACGGCAAAGTTCTGGAAACTTCGCTTGTGTTATCAGGCGGCGGTGCAGCTGCTGCAGAAGCAACCTCGACGGCGGCGGCAGTGGAAGATTCCGGTGGTGTGGGATTAGGAACAGCATCAGAGATTTCGACTCCAAACAACTTCATCTTTGCGCACTCGGGAGAATTATTAATTATGTATGATCGAAATTGATTTGTTTCAGAGTTTGTGATGAGATTGTAAAGGTGACTTGGAATATATATAGATATATAGATATATATAAGCATGTATGTATTATTGCTCGGAGGTGAAAGGGTTTTGTAATTGTACAAGGAAATATTTTATTTCCTTGTTAGAAGCGGACACCAAATCATTATTTAAGGAATTATTTTATGTTGGATTCTATTTTATTTCCTAATTTGAATCCACTTCATACTAAATCGAATCCAACGATTACATTATATTACATTAAATTATACACTCGGTCCCAATCTTTTAATGTATACAAAATTAATATGAAAGTATAAATTTGATATGTTATACGAGTATAACTATAAAAATTATAGGGGTTGAAAGATATCACAAATTTTGGAGATTAATTTATCAAAATCCAATTATCAAGTTATTTCTCTTTCAATACATTGTTCTTGAAATTATAATTATATATTCGGCAAATTGCATTTAGGCCCCTAAAAAAATGTATTTTTTGCACTTTCCCCCCTCAAAATACGAAAAATAGACTGGTCCCCCTTCGAAATATACAACTCATCGGTGCACTTCTTCTCAAATGTGTATTTCTTGTTGAACTCTAGCCGGATTTGAGTAATTGGGAAGGGTAATTTCGTCATTTAAGGTTATAAATGTCATTTAACCTTTTTTTCCACCCCATGTTACCGTTGTAGAAATAATAATATAAATAATGTTTTTCTTATTTTTCATTATCCAACACTACATTCTTATATATACATACATGCATGATAAAAAATGATCAAGCAAATATTCTTTAATAAATGTATATAAAATCAAATCAAATATCCTAAGGATATTTACAATTAAATCAAATATTGCATATAATCAAATCAAATATCTTTGGGATTATCTCTAATATGCCCCCTCAAGATGGAGCTCCGTGAGGAGAGTCTAATCTTGTCTCTAAGATAAAGAAATCGAGCTCGAGGTAGTGGTTTGGTGAGAGCATCGGCTAATTGATCGGTGGATGAGACATGAGCAAGTCGTAGATCTCCATTTTGAACTTGAACTCTAATGAAGTTAAAGTCAATGGCAACATGCTTCATACGAGAATGGAATACTAGATTAGAACACAATTGTGTAGCTCCAATATTATCACAGTAGATAACGGGTGACTGAGGTAGTTGATATGGAGATCGGTGAGAAGAGAACTTATCCAAGATATTTCAGCAGCTGTAGCAGCAACATACCGATATTCGGCTTCAGTAGAAGAGCGAGCAATTGTACGTTGCTTCTTGGAACTCCGCGAAATAGGATTGCGACCGAGATAAACAATATAAGCACTGGTAGAAGAGAAATCATCCTTATTTCCCGCCCAATCCGCATTGGAAAAGGCATGGAGTGACAGTGGAGAATCACGATAGAGACATATGCCATAATCAGAAGTACCAGAAAGATAGCGTAAGAGGCGCTTAACTGAAGTCCAATGGTCGGTGGTTGGACGATGCATGCATTGAGATAGCTTGTTTAATTTACTGTAAAAGCTATTTCTGGCCGAGTAAGAGACAAGTACTGTAAGCTACCCACGAGGGCTCTGTATTCCGTTGGATCAGTAAGAGTAGTGCCCGAGTGAAGGGTAAGTGTTGGACTAGTAGGGAGAGGGGTGAGTACTGATTTGCTATCAATCATATTGGTACGAGAAAGAAGATCGAGAATGTACCGGCGTTGAGAAAGAATAACTCCATGTTCGTGCGGAGTGACTTCCACACCAAGGAAGTAGGCAAGCGGTTCAAGATCTTTAATGGAAAATCGATAAGAGAGATGTAACAATCTAGTTGACTGTAGCATTACTGTCACCTGTGATTATAATATCATCCACATAGACAAGAAGATATACACATTGATTACTAGTGTGGAGAATAAAAAGAGATGCATCTGCATGTGAGTTTCGAAATCCAATTGCAATAAGAAATTGAGGAAGCTCATTGTACCATGCACGCGGAGCTTGTTTAAGGCCATATATTGCCTTGTGAAGCTTACACACGTGTGTTGGGTAGTCGGGATCAACAAAACCTTGTGGTTGAGCCATATATACATCTTCGCTGAGATGCCATTGTAAAAAGGTATTATTCACATCGAGTTGTCGGAGAGACCATCCACGACTTATACCTATACTAATGACAATCTGAACTGTGGTAGGCTTAATGACTGGGCTAAATGTATCATTGTAATCTACACCAGGTCGCTGCTGAAATCCTTTAGCGACCAACCGAGCCTTGTACCTATCAATTGAACCATCAGAGTGACGTTTAGTTCGGAAAATCCATTTGCAACCAACAATATTTTGGGAAGGTACAGATGGAACTAACTCCCATGTCCCATTTCGAACAAGAGCATCATATTCTTCAAACATGGCTTGACGCCATTTAGTATCTTTGATGTCTTGGGTCGCATTTGTGGGTTCCAACTCAGTTTTATTGGAAAGTTGGGCAGTGAGGTTCAATTTTTGGGTAGGTTTGTGGATTGAATTTTTGGCCCGTGTAGTCATACGGTGTGAGTTATGGTTTTCAGGTACATGTATGGCTTGTTGGATGTTTGGTTCAGGAGGGTTTGTGCAATTAGGTGATTGAGTCGGTGCTAAGGTTACAGTTGGTGGATTTACAGGTAATGGAGTGTTTGAGGATATGGGTTGGATGTTTGGTTCAGGAGGGTTTGCGAGATTAGGTGATTGAGTCGGTGCTAAGGTTATAGTCGGTGGGTTTAGAGGCGGTGGAGTATTTGAGAGTGCTGATGGATTGGGTGGTGTCGGGACTTCACTGGAGAGCATAGAAGGAGACTGCTCGTTTGATGGCGTGGAGAGTGGCCGGAGGTGAGTTTCTTGTGAAAAAATTTGTAGAGGTGGCGGGATCCATGTGGAGATGTTGTATGGTTCAGGCCGAGATAAATGGGTATGAAGGGAAGAGAACGGGAAAACCGATTCAACAAACTTGACGTGACAAGATATAAATATTTTATTGTTAGAAGGATCATAACAAAAATATGCACTTTGTGTGAGAGAGTACCCAAGGAAGACACAAGGTGTAGAGCGAGATTCTAGTTTATGGGAAGAATATGGTCGAAGCCAAGAGTA